CGCTACAGCTTCGAATTAGTTTATACGCATGCTAATCTACTAGGCAGTTCAAGGTAGAACTTCCGGCTATCTCGGGTTAGAGTAACAATGAGACATATCTAGGTAGTCATGCAACTGCATGATCGAGATGGGTCTTCATGTCCCATTCACATGCAGTTTTCTTTCGTAGGCTGGGATTCATTCCTCATACGTCAGCAAGCGACTCGATAACCGAAAGGATTGCGATCTGGATAGACAGTGCTTGGAAGGTGGTAGGGGTGGGTCAAACGGAAGGGCGCCCTTGCTGAATCGACACGGAAGATTACGAATTCAGTAACAACCCATCCAGCAGGATGCTTTTGTATCATGCGGGTCTCTACTGCAGATGTGGGCCGTAAGCTTAGACTAGTAGGCTATGTTTGCGAAGGTCGCGGTGTGTATTGCCGCTCGGCATATGCCCGCAAAACCAGTTGTCAAGCGCGCGTCTTGAGCATTCCATTAGTATGAAAGCGCACCATCGTATGTGCAAAAAATAGTCTCTCAATTCCTTCCTCCCTTCCCATTAGTGCTGATTCAACGCTATGGAACCGTATGCGTTATTCGAAAACGTATCTGGTCTCTCCGTTGAGGACCAGACTTTCGTCTCTCGATTTGGGCGCGGCCCGATACTTCCCGTCTCCCATAACACAGTGCATGAGGCCTTTGAGAGTATCGCAGATACTCATCCAGGTGCTGTGGCTGCTATACATGGAGTCAAAAGCATCACGTACCTGCAACTGGATCTTGCTGCCAACCGTTTGGCACACTACCTCATCGCCTCAGGACTTCGACCCAGACAACGAGTATGTGTCGTAGTGCAACGATCAATAGAGATGCTCATTGGCTTCTTTGCTGTCATGAAGGCTGGATGCCAGTACGTTCCAATCGATGGTGGCGTCGCATCTGACGAAGCTTTGCGACACATATTCGAGGACACCGAAGCCCGTTTCATTTTGTGTCTACCCCAATACTGGGATAGAGTCAAGCAGTTCGCCAATCTTAACACTATCGTCCTCGAACTAGGCATGAACACTGGAGCGTTCTACTCTGCTAGTAGACCAGGCATTCCTGTCACATCGGACGATGGTGTGTACGCAATGTACACTTCAGGTTCGTGTCCTCTACGTCGGCTATAAGCTTCGCTAATCAGTGGCAGGAAGCACTGGTGTACCCAAAGGCGTAGATGTCAAGCATGGCGCTAAGACCAACGCCCTCCTTTCGGAGCCGGGTCGACTGGGGATGACCGTTGGCTCAAAGGTCGGTCAGGTTTTGAGTATATCCTTCGCCATGGGTGAGTTTTGATATCTTCGATGGTACACGAAATATGCTGATCGTTACTGCAGGAGCATGGGAGATGCTGGGGTGCTTGATGAATGGCGGGACGTTGTATCTACGAGGATCTGACTGGGATGCAACACTGAAACAGGTAGCTGGAACTACCTACTGCCGCTGACAAACCTCGCTAACGAGCTCGGTAGATCGACACTCTGATATGCACTCCTTCTATTCTCGCAAAGTATAATCAACAACACTATCCGAACGTCAAGACGATCGCTGTAGCAGGAGAAACGTGTCCGCAAGGGTGAGTACGTCGCAGGACCTGACTTGAACTAGTACTGACCATAACATAGTCTTGCTGATGACTGGGCTCAAGGTAGATCTTTCTGGAATCTACTAGGCTCGACGGAAACCTTTTTGCTTTCTGCACAAGAGCATGTCGTCGGCACGCCTCTATCGATCGGTCGACCCCTACCCAATGTCTCTTGCTACGTTCTCGATGATGTCGGTAGACTTGCGCCAGTCGGCCAGAAGGGCACACTCTGGGTGGGCGGTGCAGGCCTTGCAAAGGGGTACATCAACCTACCTCTGACGACTGCGGAAAAATTCCAACCAGACGTATTCTCCAACGATGGGTAAGTGGAGATCTCGCAGTTTTCGACCTCGCTAACTATGGCGCAGCTCCAAGATGTACAATTTTGGGAACATCGTATGCTGGAAATCAGATGGCACTATGGATTCATTCGGCCGAATGGACGATCAAGTGAAAATCAAGGTTGGCTCTCATCGGCGAAGAGTTTTGATCGTTGTTCTGACCATTGCAGGGATTCCGCGTCGAGCTCGACGGTGTTACTGCTACTATCGAGGTACGTATGTTCTTGCTGGCCTTTCATCATCGCTAATCTCATATGCAGAGATTCGCTGGTATTACACGAGCTGCCGCTCTCGTCATCGACGGTATACTGCACGGATTCTACGCATCCTCCGCTTCCATCAATGAACAAGAGCTCAATGACTCTGTTCGAAAGCAACTTCCTTACTACTCCGTACCTGAGCGATGGCTGCGCGTTGACGACATCCCTTTGAACTCCAACGGCAAGGTCGACAAGACACAACTAAAGACACTCGCGGCAGCATGCAACACACCGATCTCAGAAGTGAAGCGTATGAAACCGATGCATACAAGAGTAGATTCAGCCATGGATGCTTTAGTGCTACCCGAGAAGGTTGCGATCCCTCAGGAGCCTATGCGACGTTTGTCAGATGTCGATCTCGAGAAGACTTCTGCACTGAAGAGTCTTGCACATTGCTCCTTGGTGGAAAAGGACCCATCGCTCAACGTACCAGCCAGACTACCAGAGCCGAAGGGCTCAGAGGTGACGGCTTGGCTGCGGCATCGTGGTCTCATCGCATACCGCTGGTTCCTATTTCCAATCGTCTTCGTCAACATTGGTGTTGCGTGCTGGCTGCTATATGAGGGCATCGAGAGCAGGGAGTACCCATTGTCATCCGTCGCAAACGCCACAGCATCGAATCTTTGTGCTGCGATTTTGATACGATCAGAACCGATCATCAACCTGCTCTTCTTTGTCTTCTCATCCGTGCCTACTTGGGTACCGCTTGGGATACGAAGAATCTGCGCAAACGTGTTCCACATTGGCGGCATACACGTGGGATGCGCCATCGCTGCTGTCATCTGGTTCGTGATCTTCGTGGTCGGCGCGAGCCTTGAAATGGCGAAAGATGTCGATGAGAGAGTCATATCAGTAGCCCCGACAGTATTGTCTTACCTCATCCTGGTCTTATTGCTCGCCATGACTTCGCTGTCGTACCCGGCTATCCGAAACCGACACCACGATATCTGGGAGGCTCTGCATCGTTTTGGTGGGTGGACGGTGCTCATTCTCTACTGGGTGCTCGTCGGACTATCTACCAGAGATTTAGCCCGTGGACGCATGCCATCGACCTCAGAAGCATATTTACGAAATCCCTCGATCTGGCTGATTGCCGCCGCGACCTGTGCGATCATTTTCCCATGGCTGTTCCTCCGTCGCGTACCGGTTCGTTCTGAAGTGTTGTCCTCGCATGCCATCCGCCTGCACTTCGACTCCAAGATAGCACCAGGCAAGGGCGTTCGCCTTGCGCAACACCCGCTCCGTGACTGGTAAGTAATGTCCCTGTATGCACTGCATTTGAGCGTTTTCCTAACTTAATACACCTTCACATAGGCACGGATTTGCCACCATCACAAACGAACCTAATGGAAAGGGCTACTCCGTGATCGTCAGTCGAGCCGGAGACTTCACGGGCCATCTCATCGATACCGCACCAAGATATATCTGGAGACGCGGCATCCCCACATCTGGTGTTTTGCGCATCGCAACACTGTTCAGAAGCGTCGTCGTAGTAGCCACCGGCTCCGGCATTGGCCCATGCCTCTCCATCTTTCCCTACCAACACATCGCCATGCGCATCCTATGGACTGCACCCAATCACGAGACCACGTTTGGGAAAGGCATGGTTGAAGCTGTCCGCGAAAGAGATCCACAAGCCGTACTTTACAACACCCGGACGTCTGGTAAACCTGACATGAGTCTCTTAACATACGCGCTCTATAAAGAGAGTGGTGCAGAAGCGGTGTTAGTGATTAGCAACAAGCGGTTTACACAGCAAATTGTGTACGACATGGAGAAGCGGGGAATTCCGGCCTATGGCGCCATATTCGATTCTTGAAACATGATAGGGCAACTCAAGCATGGCGGTGTCCAGCAATACTGCTTTTTGTCGCCGCACGAGAACGGGTTTCTCAGGATGACGAGCGCATTGCAGTTCTTTTTTCCAGCAAGCAATCGATGAAGATACATAGATGGTTTCGCAGACATCGCGTGATGCATTTGAGCAGGTGATTTCAAGTTTGTTGACGTAACGACCGGACAATTTCTCCCGGCTAAGCCCGAAGCACGTGGCCACTCTTGGCGGCGGGTACGCGCATTTCCGCTCCACCACCGAGGCTTGGATGCTTGCACCACTAACAGCGCGTCGCACGTCTGTGAAGTACAGTCCATCTCAGCAAACGGTGCTTGGTATTCTTGTGATGCGGTCATGTCTGCCATTGCTTGTGCGACCGAGCACCCGACCGTTCCCGACGCTACCCATTGCCTCGTAACCCAGGGACAACACCACAATGTCAGTCGCATTGCCAGCACGTATGCTCGGTGAAGCCGTCCTGAAGACTTGTCCTGACACCTCCCTCCCCTGGAACGCCAAGATGCAAGTCGATAGTGATTGACCAGCCACGTTTAGCCTTTGCCCTAAAGGACTTGCTTTTCGAGACCAGTTAATCTATCTTATCTAGTGCTGCACATCACACAAGGCAGCTCGTTCCAATGCCCATGCATCTCTGGATCTACTTGATCCTCCCGGGCAGGTGCATCAGGAGTTTCAGCGGAGACAAGACGAAAGGAGAAGGAGATCAAGTTAGCGCCCGGCGCAATTCGCGAAGTCGGCCAATGAGCGGTATGCCACACCATCACCGCTCCGGCGTGTTTATGCTAGAGTATCACCTGCCGGCCATTAGGAGAAGGTCGATCGTTGTACAGAAATGGAAGTCATGTATAAGATGAATGTTGTTTCACAGTATGCTGTAGGCACCAGCGGACCATTCCTTCGTTTCCCCATATTCCTTCGCTCCAAGCAGTCTCAAGATGAAGTACGCTCTTACCGCCGCTCTGGTCCTTCAAAGTACTACCGTTCTCGGTAGTCTTCTGCCTGTTCACTTCACGGCGCCTTCTCCAGCACATTTTCTTGACATTGTTAACAATGGCACGTACGATTTGGGCTGCAGGCCCAAGGCGGTTCCATCCGAGCAGGGCCACTTCGAGCTTCACGCTCTTCTGACTGAGGATCAAATCGCGTATCTTTCCAAGGAGTACGAGAACTCTGAAGAGGTCAGCCTCCATCGCCGGGATCTTACTAAGAGGGCCGCCGACGCTCCAATTGGTAGTGGCGACCGCTGGCAGGGTGGTGCCGTTACACCAGCTGGTCTTGGTACCAAGGCTGCGGGCTCCACTTTCAGCAGCATCATGAATGTCAACGAGATCAACTCAGCCATCAAGGGTCTTGTCAACGGATATGGCATCAGCACCGTCACCCTCCCATACAAGACCTTCAACGGTGCTACACAAACCGCTGGATACGTTGGCGCCGGTACAGACAAGTCCAAGTACCGCCTCTATCTATCTGCTGGCATGCACGCACGCGAACGTGGAGGTCCTGATCAGCTCATCTACTGGATCTCTGACCTCTTGGCCGCAAACAAGGCCGGAACCGGCCTGAAATACGGTAGCAAGACTTACACCAACGCCCAAGTCAAGAGCGTCCTGGCTGCTGGTATTGTCTTCTTCCCTCTCGTCAACCCAGATGGTGTCGCATACGACCAATCTTCTGGATCGTTATGGCGCAAGAACCGCAACACCCGATCCGGAAGCAGCGGCGCCTCCGTCGGTGTTGACATCAACCGCAACTTCGATTTCCTCTGGAACTTCAAGAAATACTTCGACCCCTCCACATCTCCTGCATCTACCTCACCCAGCTCGGAAGCGTTTTACGGCTCGGCTGCTGCGTCTGAGTCAGAGACCAAGAACCACGTCAGTGTCTACGATTCATTCCCGGGCATCAGATGGTTCATGGATATCCACTCTGCTACCGGTGACATCCTTTACAACTGGGGTGATGATGAGCTGCAGAGCACTAGCACAACAATGAATTTCCTCAACAGCGCATACGATGGAAAGAGAGGTCGTATTGGTGACTCAACGTACAAGGAGTACATTCCCTCAGCTGATGCCACGAACATCAAGAACGTTGCTGCCAAGACCGCTGCTGCAAGTAAGTAATATTTGGCTGATTTTTGACATACGACGTACTAATGCTCCATCCAGTGAAAGCAGTAGGCGGACGATCCTACACTTCGATGCAATCCGTGGGCCTGTACGCTACTTCTGGTGCTTCAGATGACTATGCTGCTAGCCGCACATACGCCAAGTCTGGTGCCAACAAGATTCACGGGTTCACCATGGAATTTGGATACGCCACCAACTTCTACCCAACTCTGTCCGAGTTCAACACCAACATTCTCGACACGAACGCTGGATTCATGGACTGGGCACTTGCTGCGATTGCCGTTGGCCTCGTATAATTGAATCAAACGAGTAGCTCAGTGTTACCAGGGTGTACAGGAGTGGTGCGACGGCGTTTTTGAAAAGGTCTAATGCGGAGTTGTAGCGGTACGGATGGCTCTGAGGAAGCGTTCCTGGAGTAATTGGCGCTCACGACATGATGGTTGATGATAGACGATGATATGTTGTGACGGCCGATGTAGCACGTGTAGCAATTTCATATCGTTCAAAACCATTTAATTACTTTGTGATATCACAAACGATCTCTTTACCCCAGCTTGAACCCTCCGCCACAGCCCCTCTGAAATAGACCTTCAGGATCAACCTCCTTGCTCACACTGCGCAAGAACTTTAGGTTTTCCTCTCCGTAGCCTTCAAAAGGATTCTGCCACGCTGCGCAATAGTTCAAGTAACGGTACCGGTGGCCCGTTCCATGCTCTAGGGCAAAAGCATCAATCTGTTCAATCGCCTCCCTGGTGATACTCCTCACCACGTCATCGTGCTCCTCCAGCGCCCAATTTACTGTAAATTGAACGTTTACTAGAGGCTCATCGGAACCTTCATCTAAGCCTAGCGGATTTGCATCGCCCTTCCTAGCCCAGGAAGGTAGACATGGCTGGAGGACCAGAGTCCAGCTCATACCCTTGACTGCATGTTTCTTGATTCTCGGGATCGCATCACGGTATGCTTTGTGAGCGGCATCCAAGGTTTTTCGATCATTCTTGATGGTCGTAGTGGCAAACTCTTGGCGTCGTCCAGGGGGGTTCAAAACGCTCAACTCGTCTGTAGCGCTGACCAAGCTTCGAGTTTTGAACGTACTCCACAAACGCCATAGTTTGTTGAAGCCGGAACTGCGCCAGGACTCTGGCCAACCCTTCTGTTGAGAGTCAGGGGTGGTATGTACGAGATTTACTGCTATAGCTTGGATCCCAGGGAATTGGAGGTATGTAAAACACGTCAGCGGCCCAGCGGCGTGAGGGTCGAATAGATGTTGCAGCTCTCCAGTCAAGGTTCGCGTGACGAAAGAATGAAACGCTGCGAGAACATCTGGAGCTTTGTATGGGAGTAGGTAGAGGAACCCGCTCCAGACATCCGTTGACGCGAAACTGCGAAGTGTGAAGCTGGTCACGACACCGAAGTTGTTACCTCCGCCTTTGAGTGCGCGCCATAGTTTAGGGTTATCTTTCTCAGAGGCGTTCACAATAGATCCATCTGCCAATACAACCTCAAACGCGAGGACGTTATTGCATACGAATCCGTACTGAGGTGAGAAGAACGAGAGACCTCCGCCAAGAGTCAGACCAGAAACACCAACGGCGGAGTTCCTTCCACCAGCCACTGCAAGACCTTCCTTCCCAAGAGCTGAGTACGTGTCAATCCATTTGCAGCCGGCTCCGACGACAACGCTCTGTCTATCTTCGGCAGGGGTGACTTGATTGAAGAGTGATAGATCAATGACAACGCCACCTTTGATGCTTGACGCACCAGCAACAGCAGAGTGACCGCCTCCTCTGATGGCAAAGATGGACTCCAACTCTTCTTTCGTCTCCTTAGCCCGGTCGTTTCTTATATCGAACTCGCGTTTGAGAATCTTGACGGCCTGCGCCAGCTCCCATACGTTGCGCGGCCGCACAATACATGCAGGCGACACCTCGCAAGCCTTCTGATCCCAATACACGTTCATCAAATTTTTGAACTCTGTCGCTTTCTCCGAAGTGGTAACGATGTGCGGGATGGCTGCGATCAGCTTGGCGTTCAACTGTCGTCCAGAAGCCGTTAGTCCATCGTCAAGCCTCAGACGACCAGGTTTCTCAGCTTCTGCGTCGCGCTCGACTTGAGATGAGCGGACACGAAGCCGTTGCCTGATGTATACCGTGGCAAGAAGGATAGCTATGCATGTGTACGAGAGCCATGATAGAGCCATGGTCAAAAATGGAGGACTTGTGCCCGCTGGCGCTCAGAGACAGTACGACAGCTTGTATGCGGTTGGGAACAGCCAAGTCATCAGCGGCTGTAGGAGAAGCATTCGAAATAAGGGTGAATCGGAGGTTGCAACATGAGTTGCGTACGATGCGAGATGTGAGGGGCAGGGCGTAAAGACACGCCCAGCGCAGGCAATGTACACAGTCAGATGACGTAATCACTTGGCACCATCAACACATCTCCAGCAGTCATTGCTTATCATAAATCGATCGGACAGCGAGATCTAATTCTCTCGTCCTTCTCTCGGGCTATGGATCGTGCGCCCAAAAAAGCATTACACCTGACCTGCGATGGCTCATAGAAAATGCGCCCAGAAGGTACGCATCGCATTTTGAATCAACGGGCTGATAGAAACAAAGGGCATGAAAGGTACACAACGCGTCTCTTGAGCGTACAGCAAGGAAACAGCCTGTAATATGTCTATCCAAGTTGGCCTCCTGTAAGTAGAGCACTCATGACGTCGGGGTGCGAAACCAACGAAAACTCGGCTCATGACTTCTGAATTGCTAACGATGCTTCCACGAAGGATGATCGCGACTGGAGAGAGTACAATCACAAACGGTTCGCTACTGGTTGCCTACCTCCTCTCGCCAAGCTTCCGCTTCTGGAGCAGTCGCTGTCCAGAACAGCTGCGATGCTGTGCTCTTTGGAGTTGTATTCGCGGCATGTTCTCGAGAAGCCATCCATAGGTTCATTGGCGTGTAATATCCGCTCGTTGAACGGGACGATAATTGTTTCGCAGACGAAACATTGTTGCATCCGTCGGAGTCGCCGTACATTTCCAGAAAAGGCAAGATTGCGATACATGAGTTATTAGATTATGTGTTTGAGACTTTCGGTTTCTAAAAGTCCGGTTTCGTAACAGAGCATTGTGCACAGTACATTCATCATATGTCGAGATCGGGGTACCACTTCTTCACCCACTGGTCGAGGACCTTGGGCCCAACTGGCTTGGTCAGAAACTCATCTGCGCCAGCGTCCTCTGCAGCTTTGCGATCATTCGAAGAGTCTTGACCAGTGACAATGAATAAGACGCTTCTTTCGTGCTTATGCTGTTTTTCCAGCCGTCGTATCTGCTTTGTTGCATCAATGCCGTCACATACGGGCATCTGAAGATCCATGAGAATCAATTTGAAAGGCTGTGTAGGTAAGCTTTGTCGTAGAAGTGAATCATACTTGGGTACGAGGGCTTCTGAGAAGATGTTGACAGCCTGCTGTCCATCTTTTGCGCTCCGGAATGGGATGCTACGTCGAGTGCAGTACATCTCTAGTAGACGGAGGTTGACGGCGTTATCATCGACAAGTAGGGTCAAGGGTTTGTCCGACGCCACCGGAGCCTGTGTCAGAGTGAGAGTAGGCTTGGTTTGAATGCGCAAGCTCCGTACAGACTGTACCAATTCAGTTTGTAGCTTTTCAGGGAATATTGAGCCCCGCTCGGCTGGAAGTCCCGGACGCCCGTTCGTGTGGGGTGTGGAGGGTGGGCTAAAAGGCTCAATGGCGACGCCGCCGGTTGCGTTGACCCCTGCATCCGGGGTGGACGATCGGAATTCAGCCGAGATTGCATCTGCGTGCTCCAGTGCTTGTTCAAGTGTCTCTGACAGAAAAGGACCTTGAACGTAGACCACGTTCCCTTGCCGCCGGACTCGTTCGGTATGGAAGTCAAGAAAGCATGCGCATTCTGGAACGAGGCAGATTGCAACTTGTTCTGTACCTATACTTGATGTGTGTCTATAGAGTTCAGCGAGATTTGGTGTATAGTCGACGATCACGAAACTGTCATGAAGCGTCCGGGACGCTGACCAGCCAGCACCTGAGAGATATTGGGTGAAGTAGTAGCCCAGAGATGATGTTGAAGACTCCGATGCGAGGTGATGGAACGTTGGCGGTAGTCGGGTGAACCTGTCCTTTGCCGCACGGGAAGATGGTAGTGAGCTAGCACAGATGGGCTCGTTGAACGTGGCTTTGATATGTGAGCCTGGACCTTGGCTCGAGCGCACCAGTGTGATCTCGCCACCTAAAAGAGTCGCTGCTTTGCTCGCCAATGTCAAGCCCAAGGCAGTATCTGTGCCACTGAGATCAATCTTTTCGTGAGCATCAAACACGCGGTCGTAATATCCCTTGGACGTCTTATGCCCACTGTGCTCAACATCGACGATGAGAGACTGGCAGCCTTCCGTGACCGACAGTGTGACTGCTACTATGCCGCCAGCAGCATTCTGGGCAGCATTAACCATAAGTGGCTGAATACAATCTAGAAAAACACGCTTGTCGACAGCGAGCAAGTCGCAGCTCGTCGGAAGGTGGTGTTGAATGATAAATGATGGCCTTGTTGAAAGATCGTCAGAGAGTCCTAGTAGGGTTTCCTTGAGCAGAGCGTCCTCGATCTCGGAGATCTTGTGCATAGTGAGAACGCGCTCCGCCTGGGCAATATCTGCCCATTGATTCAACTTGATAAGGCTGTTTACTGTGGAGATGAGCTCTCTCGCAGAAGTCTTGATGGTCTTGATATAAGTGTAAGGATCGAGCTGTTCGATATCCGGGCTCGCAGTAGGTGAGGAGGCGGCTGTCGACGGAACCACGTTTCGAGATTTCAGCTCTTCCGTCAAAAGCTCGACTGAACCAAGGATGCCGTGAATGGGAGTTCGAAGCTGATGCGTAATACCGCGGAGGAAGGTTTCCTTAGCGCTGAGTGCTTCTTGTAGTGCGCGGCCTTGCCAATAACGACACAGTATATTCTGGACGCGAAGATGAGTCAGTATGTATCCACTGAAGGGAGAGTACGAAGAAATTCGCTTTCATCGAGTTGCACCTCAAGCACGACCATGAAGATACTCGCCCAGTCTTAAGCATGTTGAGGCTATAGACTAACGACGTCGTATCCTTTAGGCAGCAATCTTGATTGTCGTACAACTGGTAGACTCAAGCATCTTCGTATATGTCGTCACTTACCGCGCACATGTGTACGAACCATGAATCGATATCGTCAAACACCATCTTGAGATCATTGCTGGCTACAACCAGGAACATCGCCGCACGTTGACTGGTGCACTGCGCCGCAATTACTCGTACAGCCCGGGGGGCAGTCATATCCGAGTGATTCAGGTTCTCGATGGCATAATCAAAGTCTACGAAAAGAGCAGGCGCGAGGTCAGTGTATGTCGTAGAGAAACTCATATATTGCCACTCACAAGCAGTGTCTTCCCAGAGACCCTGTTCCAATTCACAAGTGCGAAAGCTTGTACCACCATTAAGGGTAGCTTGGCCATCTGTGATCAGATTGATACTCACTTCTGTGTTAGGATAGACATCTTGGAGCATCCGGGGTATCGCTTCCTCCATGTTGACGTGGTCGTCGCAGTGCTGCTGAGCTTGGGAAAGCAGCTCAAGCATCCGTCTGCGCTCGCGTTGACGCCGAGCTCTCGCGCTGTGTACTATATCCGCAACTATCCAGTCGGCGAGTCTAGCAAGTGCCTGCTGTACGGTTTTGGAAAGAGGTTCTTGCGGAGAGTTGGAAGCGACACATAGCGAGCCAAAAGCGACGTGCTCGCCAAACTCAGTCTCGAATCTCAACGGCACACCAGCATACGCGCGCAACCCACCCTGTTCGACATGGGGCGACTTTTCAAAGCGCCAGTCGATAGCCATGTTTTGCATAGCGAAGACCGTCTGTTCCAATTAATCGCGGGCTAAATGTGGGAATAAGTGCTCACTTACGCCTGGTGGTTGATTGATGGTGTGGGCGCATGTACTCTCGCGACGGGGTAATATTGCAAGGGGGAGGTTCACAGTGACCATCCGGGTGTATGTAGTGTGGTTGAGAAGGCCAGCGATAACAAACTCCCAGCCTACTGTCTCATGCGCAAGATAGACTTTCTCCTGGAGGCGAGACATTAGCTCTACATCCTCAAGCGCCCCGCGCGTGTAATAGAAGAACAAGGTCAGTCTCAATCTCTCGTTCCGCGTCAACACGGGAAAGAGATAGCTGTCTGCATGAATACTGGTGGGACATTGCGCTCTAGCAGGTATGGGCGCCGGAGACCAGATATCGTGGTTGTGTGGATATACAGCTGCGACTTGGCCTGCGGTCCATGAATCCAGAGGTTTATCGGCATGCTCAAGATCGAATATTGGTGCGGTCGTGGTAGGACGCTCGGATATTGCCGGTGCAGCGTGTCTCGATGCGAGGACGGCTGCATCTGCTTTTGGGAAGAAAGCAACGCGCGCGCCGCCCTTGGACTGCATCGAGATAGACGTATATCGAACTACTTCCCAGCATCAAAGGCAGAGGTTGCGCAGTGTATTATGCAGAGTTGTGGTATATCGCGGGAGCTAGAGGCTGTCAAAATGGCGTGCGACGGATTGACGTTCGAGGCCGGTCCAAAAGGCCGACTGATGGTGGCGATGGAGTAGGACGTGTGAACTGGTACGGCGATCGCGACCCTCTATGCGGTGCTGCACGCCGAACACTGGTACGTATGGTAGAGACAAGCTGTTCACATGCGTCAGGCGCGTTCAGCTGGCGAGATTTTGTTAGCCGCATGGTATCCCCGGCCTGGCGCGTTCCTCCGGGCCGAAGGTCATCGATCGATGCGATGCCTTAGCTGCAACATCAAAATACATCGTCACAACGGATGCTCAAGCCTCGAGAAAGTATAGCCGAACTATGGTCGCGTGCAAATCCACTGGCATTAGTTGAGTGTAGCTAGAGTGGCAAACCTCATGAAGAAGGATTTGAATGCGGGGCGGCCGCGCTTCCGGTGTCTCCCATTGGCTGTGTCAAGGCCCACTAATTACCGGAAACCTCGTCTTCTCCGGCAGCAGATACTTACTCAATTTCTTCGTTCTGCCATGCTTTCACCCTCATAACACGTCGAACTGCCGTACCTCGGTACCGCGATGTCGCTCGAATCTACCATCAATCAAACGCTATGACCAGACATTGAAGACAGCAACCTGGTGAACGTCAAGATGGCAGAAGACGTGCTCATAGGTAAGCTGGAAAAAAAGATCCATTTGACGGCACACCCTGGACACCCGAAATTGTTTCAGACGCTGGTATCGATACAGAGAATCAGGCTGCTGGTCTCAAATATGCCGTCACTCAAGAATATCCCGTTTCGACACTTGGAAGACCTTTGCAACTTTAATTGTACCATCGTTGGCCAACGGTCGTTTGTCCACATGCTCGGAGCTATCCAACGGCGCATCACACGGCGCCTAAAGCGCTTGAAAGCATAGCATGGAATGAGGAGGGAAGGAGGAAGGAGGCCACTATCTGCACGCGGTACCACCGAGATTGTTCTGTCCTTACTGGGCGCTTGGCGTCTCAGGGCATTGAGCCGCTTCGCTCTGCCAAATCGCAGTCTGTGTCACATTCATCGTTGCTCCCACTGCGTGTCTAGGTTGCGGATCTCTGTTGAACCGGACTGCTAATGACTGCTGTTGTTAACTTCGCTCGTTATGGACATCTAGCCGTCACCAACTTTGAAGAGAACATTTGTTGAAGCCTCCGCACCAGACATGTAGGTTAACGAGAGCGACGCTATGAGACCAGTATTCAAACACATGCAGCATTTCTATGCGTAACGGGGGTAGCCATCAGCTCGATTGATGGTGGGCAAACAATGTCAATGACCTCAGTACGTACAAAGGTAGTATCAGCCGATGTGGCCATCCACTTCAACATCCTTCACTATGTATTGCTCACCTCATCTTCCACAATATCACTGTCAGAGCTTTCTTTACGTCTTTCATCGTTATCGTTGTTTACTCAATATCATCGTCCGGTCGCTGCACAGCGTGGCATTCTGACGTCAAAGAAAAACAACTTCACCTTCACTTTCACTTCTGCTCCCACTGCGCACATACCACCCCGCATTTCTGATTCTCGCTGCCCACCGTCTACGCGACTTTACAATACTAGAATCCAACTTCAGTATCTAATTTTGCTCACTCCGACCCGCAAGACAGCACACTAGACCAGCGAACATCTCAACACTAATCTGCTATTGTGCGTGTGTTCCACTCCACAGGCAATCGACTCGTCGCAGAAAAGGACAGCAGTGCGATTGCGGCTATACACAGGCGCCAGAGCGATGTGAGTACTCTGACCCTAGCAAAACCACTCCCCAGTAGCCTGCATTTGAACGCGCATCATGGCGATATCAAAACGAGACTCCTGACATTATCGCTACAGACTTATTTCCATACATACGCCGTAGTAGCCCACATTCCTGTTCCATACGTCAGCTTCCAATCTGCCACTATGTCGTCTTCGCAGGGCCAATCATTCGACTTCCGCTTCGAACAGTCTGACGCAACAAACGCGCCCAAGCCCAGATTCATGCCCAAGCCACTGCGTCCAAGAAAGCAGCGCGGTCAAGACTACGACCCTAGCCTGACTGCTAACATGGGCCCACCTGACATGAACACGGTAGCAGAGTCTTTCAACACAATCACCCAGCAACAACACCCCAGCACAGAAGAGAAGGGAGTCAATGAAGGATACTCGAGGAAGAGCAACTGTCAGCTCATCAAAGAACATATTCAGGACATATGCACGTTCTTTGACTCCACGGATCAGATGTCAAATCTCAAAGCCGATGCGCTTGCAGCGTCCTGGGAGATAAGACTTTGGGATGTCTCATTCGGGCACGTTGACAGGGTTTCCGCATATATCAAGAGCATCGACGCTGCCGACAAGGATCTGACAAAGTGGATCACGAACTGGGAATCAGCTGAAGACGACAGCTCAGACAAGCGGACTGGCCGACAGTTCTTTGTCGACCATATCGAAAAGTATCACGCGCACCAGCTCCAATACACCGCGCACACCGGATCGTTGAACGAACCTGTGTCTACCGAAGACGAGCATCGTCAAGCTTTGCGCAGACTCCTCACTGACGAGCTTGAAACGATGAAAGCTATACTTCCCATGTCCCACCCGCTATCGAACTTCGACATCGCACAGGTCGTTCACAAATGGGAGGACGAGAACTGGATTGCAGCCTGCGAGCAAGGCTTCAATGTTATCGAGCATGTTGCGCATACTGAAGGAGAATGCGAGACTCTACATCTGTGGGCTGAATATAGGAATGGTTACCCTGATGAGGACATCGATATGACCGGCGAAGCTAGATTTTCTGACTTCATACGACAACGCCTTGAAACAGGAGTTTCCGGTGCATCCACCCAACACGATGACAGGCAAGAGACGCGCCACTCCATTGATGAACCATACACCAGCGATAATGACAGTGATATCGGTTCGGAAGATGAGTATGAGGACGAGGAAGAAGGCTATGCGACGAAGAAGGCTTATCTCAAGGACTGTGTGGCAAAATATCTGCCTTACTATACGAATATTCCGGATGACATCATCGATCGATGGCAGGAGAAGCTTCTTCTACAAGCAAGAGAGAAAGGTGGAGGCTTCGACAATTACAAAGAGAACCTGTACGACGACTTGGATACCGTGGAAACCTGCCGTGATAGTTGGGACATGGTTGTTCAGAACACTGGAAAGACGGGCCACTCGTTATTCAGCGAGCTTATCGAGGAATGCTCAGAAGAGGCTATTGCTGAACTGAGAAAACAAGTGAAGCAAAAGGAAGAAGACTGTAGACACGAGCGTCTACTGAACTCTGAAGAGTTCAACGGGTCCCTCGATGTCCATGATCAGAAGCGAAGGGAACACCGGACGACACTTCGAACCTTGATCGATGACGCCAAAACTAATATGGACAGCTCGCACGAACTGTCAGACATTCAACTCACCACACTAGCGGCGCATTGGGAGACACGGCTCTGGACCGATGAACCCGATTACTACAAGTACCTTGATAAGCTGGATCACTTTGAGATGGATCTGATGGAGTGGACGACGAATTGGCAGCTTTTGCACGAGAACGATATGACTGGCGAGCAGAACTTTGCTGGATACGCTCATCGCAACCCCGATCGATCGGTTTTGCGGTGCGAACTACGCTGTGCCCTCGACTCAATATCCGGCAGACTCTTACCAGATGATCCATTGGCCGGCTTCTTTACTCGAACTGTAGCTGAAACCCGAGAAGGAGATATTTGGGTCATCGCTGAGGAATCTATGGACGAACAAATGAAGCTTGTCCGGGATGAGTGCACAAGGTTGTACCGGTGGGATAAGCACTGGACCAACGTCTGCGACCAAGATCTCACCGGAGAGGAAAACTTCCGTGAATACTATGATCAACATCTTGGAACGCAATATCTCCCTGATCGTAACCCGGGTGATCATGGGCTCGATTCGCAAACCGCCGACGAGTTGTTTGACCTGGCTGGAGGCAACGACACGGCATCGGATGACAGCGAAGACGACGCTAGAGGCAACGGGTTGTCTGATGAGTTCCTCGAAGATGACAATCAGGAGCTCGTATCTCCACGCTCCCCAAAGTCTGACAACAGTAGCGATGATGATGATGCTGGTGAAAGTATTGTATGCGACACCGAAGATCAGTCTGGCAATCAGTCAGTTGATTCCAGTGTGCCTCTCGGTTTCCAGTCACTTCCTTCGTTCGAATCTCAAGCAGTAGAGCCTGTCCAAGAAACAGAGCCTATGCAGGTAGATGATCCAGCTCACCGACAAGATACAGACACATTTCAAGAAACTCTGGCCAGCTCCAATCAACCGTTGGTAAGAAACAATGCCAGCACTTCTGGGGTCACAACTGCTGCGGTAACGTATCCTCGATACCTGCCAATCGCACCTTCCCAAGATTCCAAGGCTTCTCACGTACAAGACGATACGGCCATGGATGGTGTTTCTTATCACCTGCTGTCGCAAGAGGTGGAGATGTCGGATAATGATTCTAACTTGACTGTCCAAAAAGAGGCGGTGGACACAATGCCCGCCGGAAGACTCGCGACCAATCCTGCAATATCAATGAAAGATACGGAAATGTCTGGAGCCGATAATTCCCAAATATGGAAAGACATCAGCAAACGGTCTGAGCCACTTACTATGGTTTCCACCGGAAATCCCGCTGGCCCTTTTGACACGTATGCTACTGCATCAAACCAATTCTGGTCTACTCCTCAGACTTCCAACCGCCCAGCGTTGCCTATTAAGAACGATTCCACGTCTCATGGTTCCATATTTGATACGAAAGGCCTGAGCTTTCAGGCACCGACAACAACCAGTATCACCCCATCCAATATTACAATGCGCGAGCCGGATGTGCCTCGAACCACTCCGCAGTCTCTATTGTTGTTGCCTCAGACTGTTGAAGGAAAGCCGGATGAGCCATTGATCACCCCCGCAGAGGTTGGATGTAAGACTGTATTCCCCAACGTCTCTCAAGACGACGTCGAAACGGACGGCAAAGCTCATGTAGCTAAGAAGCCGAAGTCTGCTGAAGCCAAAACTACGTTGTTAGCCCCTGCAGTGTCAGCTGCACCCCAAGCAACTTCGGCTTTCACTTTCAAGCCCCCCAAGGGCGGCTTTGTACCAACGATTCCGTCCGGGTTCGACGCTGGAAGGTGGAGTGGTGGTTTTGACTTCAATCCTCCAGTAGAAGATGATACTACTAGGGCTGCGTCTTCTTCAGGTGAGGTTGACAGCATTCCAAAGACCACTAAAAATCAAGAGCCTGTGGCTGATGACTCTGTTAATCATGCTGGAGCTGACAACAGCGGCAATGCCTTCGGCTCTGCCCCGATAGAAGTCAATGTCGATTCCACGAGCGATGTAGAAGAGATTGGGGAAGAGACACCGGTCGCTGAGAATGAGTCTTCCGGCACCAGAAACCTCTTGGATATTATGTGTACTCGCCTCGCCAAGATTGCAGGTTTTGCTTCGCAATCCGTGCAAGTGGACGCGATGAACGCGGAAGCCGACGAGCGCGAGCGGACTGAGCTACTACAGGCTACCGTCGAAGATGGTGAAGGGAAGTTCGAAGAAGAACCCGAGCAGGAATCCGAAGATTGCTCGGACCAGATCAGGAAGATCAGTCTCGCTGTCCGCGCATGTGATGACTACTGGCTGGATGCGAACTCAAGCGACAATGCTCCCCCTGCCTTCGTCAAGGTGGCTGAAGGTCTTCGTACCATAGCTGCTCAGATTACAGATGAAGGCGACTGGAGTAGTCCGTCGGCTTTGAGCAAGATTGAAGCTCTTTCTGCGAAATGGCAAGCATTTATCGATACGATCAAGGCCTTCATCAATATCACAACACACTTTCACCGCGACTACGATTACCGCTTCGAAAGATCGGCAGAGCAATATCGCTCAGATGTCGAAATGGTATCGGCATACGACACCTTGAGCCGATTGCCGGGTGCTCCAGACCTTTGGCGGAGGGAGGCCAACAAGCGGCGCGATTCAAGGGACAACAAAACAAAGTCCATCAAGAATGAGATCCACAAAATGCAGAATCTCTATCAAGGATACTACAATACTCTTGAGGCGCTGCAGGTGAACGTTGACTGCGAAGCGTTGAAGAAGTTTGCAGATGAGACGCTGGTTGACTTTCACGCAAAGATTGTGAGAGCAACTGAGGCATTCGACTTACATTACATGGGAGTTCTTTCAACTCTCTCCAACCCGCTCAGATGCGGCGGAGGTGTTGAGCCAATGCACAAGACCTCAGTGCATACCAAGCAGCGCAAGAGCCTTCCCAACGTCATCGCCGACTACGAGGAATGGTGAGAAATTCAGCGCATCACAAAACAAATTGCCATTACACCAGCAAGCGATTGATAAACATGTTTATGAGCTTTGGGCGATGCCATTGCACGCCATATCAAGCATGGCGTTATGAAGGGTACGATATACGGCAATATGAAACATGGGGGGTAATAGTGAAGCAGCGACACCATGTTGTCGCATGCTAGGGACCTTTAATGCGGATAAGGAAAATCGCCAAATGCGAAACTTGACCGTAGATTGGGATGAGCGGACGGCGATCAGGGTGTAGGAAAGAAGGGACGTCATCATATTGACGGGTCAAAATAGAAGACAGCGATCAGATCGTAGTCAACAAAGGGTATCGTCATATCGACAGACCGAGATAGATGGATGCAATGATTATTGAATTGACTCATACTGGTTATAGACTAAATAAATCCAGTGCCCCTAGGCACTTGTGATAATGACAACTTCATGATTACACCCATCGTTGTATGCATCGAAGCTATTCAGACTCTCTTGCGCAGTTTCCTAGTGACGATGAGCCTAGCGACGACAACACACAACGCGGAAATGGTCGCAGTTCCACCAGCGTAGAAAATGGCAGGTCGGTAAGCGTCAATACCTACCCCTGATCCGCTTCCCCATTTACCACCTGCAGCTTGTAGTAAGTAACCGGCAATTGGCGCGCCCATAAGATAACCAACACTCCAGCCTGTGACCGACATGCTCATAGCCACTGCAGCTCGTCCAGGACCGAATATACCAGCGACTACAGTCGGCTGGGTAGTGAAGTACGCGCCATTTGCGACACCGTTTATGATGGCGAAGAGTACTAGCGGGCCCAGCGTGCTGGAGACTGGCCAGATCGCGAGCATACTCGCAGCGTTGAGAGCCATTGCGATGACGAACATATTGAGTGGACCGATTTTGTCGCATAAAGGACCAGCGATAAACCGACCTAAAGCATTGCAGGCATTGAACGCTGCGACCAGACCAGCACCGGTACTTGGACTAAGGCCAATCGATTGTGCAAACAACGGTAGATAGTATGGCGGAACGAAGAGTGCGAAGACACCAATCGCGCTTGCAACAAAAGTCGCAATAAAGGTGGCAGACCTGAACATGGATAGATCGACGAACGGTGCCTTCCTAAGCGGAACACGGTCCTTCACCACCCAGGCGGCAGGAAGACCGATGGCCCAGGTCAGGAGTCCCTGGATCCGGAAGGTCCACTCGATGCCGACTCTTCGATTCAAAGCTTCCAAAGCAATGGCCATGACACAACCACCCACCCCACCGCCAAGCTTGATGAGGCCATTCGCCAGACCAAGACGAGCGCTGAAATACTGCACAGGAACTGTGTTGTTGACAGTCCAGTTCAGTGACATCCCAATGCCACCAACGATACTGTATGTGCCAAAAAGACCCGGCAAGTTTGACGTACAAAAGCTTGCTCCAATCAGACTCAGGCCCATGAGGAAATTTCCAAGTACAATTGTTGCCCGGCAGCCTATGTATCTCATCAGACTGACGGCACCCAGTCCATATAGTGCACCACTCGCGAGTCCCAGAGAGCCGACGTAAGAAAGTGTAGCTGGTGCAACATCCTTCAGTGTTGAATTCAGTAAGGCGGCCTGCAGTACACCCCAGCAATTGATGATCGCGTTGTTGCAAAAGCTCGTTGTGAAGCCACCAGCGACGACAATCCACCCATATCCTCCGTCCGGTACCGCTGTAACAGAGTAGGCTGAATTATCCGGCCCTTCATCTTGAATGTGACTGACAGATGCTGGGCGTGGGGTGGAAGGCAACGACTTGTTCGACGCGTGATGAGAGGTCGTTGGGAACCTCGTCAGCTCAATGCGATCTTCTGTGACGGTAGTGGTAGTAGACATGTTGAAGAAGAGAACCGTATTGCATCTAACCGTAGACTGTACAAGGACTTATGAACCTCTGAGAAAGGTCGCACTAGACGCTATAGACGCCCGAGTGGTTATTGGTCGATGCTGTCCTTGGACCACAGGACTGAATGGATCGATCTGACTTCGCGTTGGGAACTACTTATGTACCGTAGATGGAAAACTCAAGCAGATCGCACCTTACATTAACTGCAAGTGACTGTACTTTTCCAAATGAAGACATGTGAGTATCTCCAGCTCTCTTTTAAGTGGTCCCAGTCCATCTCTCGGGCCGGTGTCGCGCCCCGCGTTCTCCGCAGACGGTGCTGCATCGCAGTAATGCGTCGGAAAACTTCGCAGATTACCGATTGATTGGTGGTTATCTGACTTGTCTATGATGCACCGTCACTTATGCGATGACATGCAGGGGAGGCACAGAGCGGGGAAAGCTTCGAAGGGCGTGATGTCGTGCTTAGTCATTTGGGGTCCCCACTTGTCAGGGTCCAAGGGTCCACGAATTCATGATCGTCAATCATCTCAGTGTCCACGCCTTCAAGTCTCAGGAACCACACAATCAATGGGTTCAATTACAGCACGCGTCTCAAAAATAGACGATCCGTTAGTAGATATACCCTTTAGGCCATGCAAGAACAAGTTCACGCCGTCGCACTTCCAAGTTTTGTAGGCTGGGCGCCCGACGCCGACTCGCTGAGACGCGACACGCCGCATCTAACATCGTATCCTTGATCAGTCCACGTCATGGCAAACCCCTGGCAGCGCATAGAGCTGTACCTCAACTAATGTTATTCCAACTCCTGGGTCACCTCACTGATCATCTCTACTACTTACCATAGCTACCCACAACCCACAAGTACAATATCCAAGATGGCAACAGAAGAAACCGTCGACCTTAGCCCAGCGCACGCGCCCCAACCAGCATCTGTCGATGCCTTCAAATCGGTCCTGGACACCGTAAAACAAGAGCTTATCAAGCTGCGGCGCGACCATGACAGTAAATTGCTTCCCGCACTCAATCGCAATCGACCATTTTAACAATCCTACTAGAGCATGAGCCAGAGTACTTTCGCGCTGTCAAACACCTCTCCGATGCCGACCTAGTATCCTTCACTGCCGAAGACCTCGAGTCGGTTCGCGCAGCCGTCACAGCGTACGGCCTGCATCTCTTCGGCCAGGTGAAGCTGCCTGCTTTGGACAACGGGTACATCCACATCCGCATATTTGGAGCTGCTAAGGACGGTACGGATGGGAGTAGTTTGGACGAGAGGGAGTATAGTTTGCATAGCATACATACCGAGGAAGTTATCAAGGAAGATGGAGATAGGGTATATAGAGCGATATTTGGCAAGGACGACGCGTTGGAGTGGTTCGAGACTTAGACCCACACGTCTGATGCGTGTGAGTCTCCTTGATAGCAAGACTCGGAAGTGCTGCTTTGCGTAGGATCCATTAGTCTTTCCTCTGTTTTGGGTCTCTTACAAATCCAACATGCGTATGCTCAATCCCAGCCCCAACTCTTTCCATGTCTTCCGTACTCGCGAACTTGCTCAAGTCCCTAATCGTCTCCTTATCCCTCTCTTGAAATCCCAATCTCTCATACAATCCCCGTGCCTTGTTATCGTCCGCAGTCTCCAAGTACGTTACCACACCCCGTTCATCAGCCATGTCCAAGACTTCGCTTATCAGTTTTGCCGCTAACCCACATCCTCGATGTTCAGGATGCGTAGCCAGATTCTCTAATAGGAAGTGCGGTTGTCCCTGTAGTATACGCTGCCTCAGATTCCGAAGACCTCTAGTGAATTCCATGATGAGAGCGCGATTGCTAGTCGAAGGCAGGGAATTGAAGTATACTTCGTCTTCGAATGCCTCCCGCTCCTCTCTATCTTCCTCTTCTTGAATTGTTTGAGCCCGTTCTCTTGGCTGCTGTACATGTTCTGGCGTGGTAGCGGGAGAAGCAGGCACCGTCCATTGAGCCACGGATACGACATGCCCGTTCCTCACATCGCGGGCGACCATGAAAAGCATGCTATTCTCCTCAATCTGCCGGGCGATGCGAGATGTCATAGCGTTGGCTAGGGCGTCTGGATCCACGTCACCAAATTGGAGGCGTGAGAACGGGGATTGCCATGATAGTGCGAACAGCAAAGATATTGCTTGGGCATCCGAGGTCAGTGCTCTTTGTGACGTGTATATATGCGACATGGCGGTCTGTGTATTTTATGAACGTTGCGTGCGTGACGTATCTGTCTCGACGTGCCAAGAAAATTAGTCATATTACTGTTGGTTGCTAACAAGAGTGGGTTCGGGATCCGGTTAGCCAGTAGCATCCTGTCAGACTGATGGGCAGCGGAGGAGTTCATTCTGTCTGACCTGTAACTTCATCCCAGAAAAGCTAGCTTAAAGTAATGAACTTCTAATATTCTACATGTATTGTAACAAGAAGTACAGGGAATATTTCGAGGTGCTATTTACCACACAACGGTGCAATTTGGATGATTCAAGCATCATCGTACATGGAATACACCAAAGGAGTACATAACAGCTCCAAACCATCATATTCAATATCTAACAAACATCTACCTCGCAGGAAACACAAAAACATTTCAAACCTTCAACCATACACCTACAAATTCATACCAAGAAGTGAAAGCAAAGGGGAGAAATGAAGAAAGTTCATTGCGTCATTCAATCGTACCACCCGCCACCCTATAGTCTTCAACACAAGAAGAAGAGGAAGAAGTGAGAAAAAGAGCCGGCACCGCATACGAAGCAGTCTAGAAAACAACCGAACTCGTGTGGTATAGATATGATCTTTCAGCGCGCGAAATCTCGTCAACATGAACGGCAGACCGGCTGGACTCCCACCAAGCCTGGTCCCGCATGTGGTGATGGATGATGTGTCGATAGAGGGGATATTTGTGAGAGCAGTCCAACCCAAATGTTCGCCGGGGTAAATGTTTCGCCCTCCCATAGGATATAGTAGTCGATAACGCCATGTAAACGCCAGAATCAATGCCAAAGTATAGCGCCCGTAATGCCAAATGTGAAAAGAACAACATGATTTACCGTTGACAGAAAAGTTCAATCTCACCTAGTCCGCCACCAGGGTTGAGATTGCTCTGCTGTTCTTTCCAGTTCTCGAACGCCTCCTGTACGTCATCATCGCATTGGATGCTTACGTATGTGTTATCGCTATCCAGGTACTTGAGTTTGACCTGGCCGGAGCCTAGTGATACAGACGTCGATCGCTGTAGTTTTGCATCAATGCGGTCCTTGAGCGACTGGTAGCTGATATTTGTGCTGACCACCAAGACCATGGAACTCCCGGCTGATGGGCAATGGACCTTGACTTTGAGTTGTGTCGGTATATTGGGGTCTACACCAAGTGGAGGCGACATGTTCCGCGAGTCCATGGACGCTGGAGTCAAAGTGCCCTGGCTTCTCTCAAACGATGATGCAGGCGTCATTGTGCGCATTGGCGGATAGTTTGGATCGCGGCGCATAGCAGTGTTGTGGAACTCATTGTTCGCATTGGCAAGCTCGGCGGCGGTTCGTTGCTGGATCAGACGGTCTCGTTGGATTGCTGGTGACTGGGTTGCAGCGCGCGGCGGTGGGTTGTTGGGCGAGTTGCTGTTACTGCGATTCACGATTGCTGCGTTGTACGCGTAGTGTGTGGGGAAGGGGGGCACATCTGGCACTGGCTGGGATGGCGGCGGCGCTCTTCGAGTTTGTCCTTGGAGATGTGAGTTGATATCGGGGCTACTAGCTGCCCGCAATCTACCTTGAGCTGAAAGAGTGGCATTGGCCGGAAGTGATGGACGTTGGGCACGACTCTGTTGATGAACATTCTCCCCCCTGGATCCGTGGCGCGATTGAGCAGGAGCAGTGTGACGATTGTTCTCTTCGTGAGAATATCCATTTGGTGGTGCTTGACGGGGGAAGGGGAAGGTGCCGTTGGATGATTGGCTTGATCGTGCGTTAGAGTGGGTTGACATTGGGGTTTGCATCGGGGTCTCGGCCGTAGGAGAAAAGTAGGATTCTTGGTTGGCGGCGTCCTGTATCTGCTGCGTGCGCAGGGTTAGTGGAGGCTGACCGTTGTAGCCCATAGGAAAACGTGGAGGTGGTACCCTTTCGCTTTCGCCAGTCGTTGATCGCGAACGTATTGAGGGGGTGCCAGTATTCTGTCGTGAGTAGGGGTAGCCTGTAACAGGGTCGATGTCCTCGTCAGCATCTTCTTCGTCTTCTTCCTGGTATGGGTTTTCCAAGACTTGGTCGCGCATGTATGCGAACTGGGTATCTGATGGCCTGGAGGCTGTGGTGCTGGCGCTTGTCCGCGCCTGGTCCTTCCACATCCGGCGCTGGGTATCAACCTGCATAGCCCATTTCTTCATGGTTTCCTCGGAGGTGAATTTGATGATGAAGTTCTCGATTCCCGGGTCGCCCTTCCAGAAGATTTGGCAGGTGTATGAGCCTGCGTAGGTTAGCTGGGGTGTTATGAATAGAGGCTTTGGTGGTCGCACCTGGCTTCTGGAGAGAGATGGTCTCTGTGACGTTCTGCATGAAAATGCGGCCCTTGAGCTGCAACTTTGGCTTCCCGTCTTTGGTGACTAGGGATCGAGTGGACATTTTGTTTTTTGGCTTGTTGACGTTGATCTCTTTACAGCAGAGGAGAATCATCTCGAAGAGGTAGATCTTGTACTATGGGAGGGTTAGCGATGCAGGGGAAGGTATGAGCATGGTAGAAAGCCTACTTCTCGCTCTTCGTTCTTCGAGCTCATGCTCTCACCCTTGAGCACAGTATACTGGCCATGTAGAAGAAGGTCACCAAAACCTTCAATCTTGTGGCCCTTCCAGTCTTCTACGAGCGTCTTGAGCTCTTCTACTGCTTCGACACGTTCTTCGCGCGCAATGGCGTCGTTGGTGCCTGCGAGCACGGAAGAGGCCGCTGCGATACCCCGGGAGATGTCTTCTCGTCGTCCTTCGTCGAGGTCGCCCTTGTCGCGAAGTTGCTGTTTGTGTTAGCGAAGGGGTTGGAGAGGAGGCTGTTAAATCATACCTGAAGCAGTAACGGGTATTTGGTGAGTCGTTGGAATGGTTTCAAAAGGAAAGACGCAAGCAAAGTCGGCGACTCAACCATCTGTCGCATCTCAGCTGGTCCACCGGTCTCCTTTAGCTTGTCGAATTCGCGCATAGCAATCTGCTCGCACTTCTTCTGGTTCGCAATGTACGGCTCGTAGACCTTGAAAGCATCTTTGTATAAGACGAACAGGTTGCCCCAGTTTTGCTCATCGGGGTGCTGTGCGTTGGTTTGTTCGACGCGGATCAGGAAGCGGCGCTGGAAGTCGAGGAGGGCGTTGAGATTGAGGAAGATGTCGTGCACTTGGTCACCACTAATGACACCCCTTTCTTCTACCAGCTTCTTGAACTCCTGCAGCAGCTCCAGATGCTGTACGTAGGTACGCTCCGTCTTGACCAGCTCGTCGATGATGTGCTCGCGCTGGGTGCGCTTGGTGCCGACGCCGCCAGCGTTGTCGAGGGATTCGGTGACGCCAGCAATCTTGCCCTGGGCGACGAGCTCGTCCAGGACTTTGTTGACGACGTTGGTGACCTGTGTGGATCTGTTAGCGCGGGCCTACCCCACAGTCTGCTGGATGCTCACTTTCACAAATCCGGTTGTGTCGTCACCGTACAGGTCGCCGAGGATGAAGCAGCTATCCTGGGGGATGCCCAGCTCGGTGACGCAGCTCTGGATGAACTTGTAGCAGGCCATCTTCTCGTTCTTCTTCAGGCTCTTCTCGTCCTGCTTGGAGCTGGGGATGGTCAGGAGGGTGCGGGGCTCGAGGGCGTTGTACAGCTCCATCAGCGGGTAGCCCCTCCGGAAGGTGCGCCATAGCAGCGTGACGGGGTCGGCATCGTCGTCGGCCTTGCCCTCCTCCTCGGCGATCCAGCGGTTGAAGCCCGGGATAAAGCGCAAGCGCATCTGCAGCGTCAAGCAGCGCTGGAACAGCGAGGTGTCCTTGTCGGCCCGCTTGTTGAGGACATTGTCGGAGGCTTCGACGGGTCCGCCATTGACGGGCGTCGACGATGTCGGGAAGCTGGGCGGGGGGTTGAACAGCGTCGAGCTGCTCGTGGCCTGGGTGCTCTGCGTGTCGCGCGCGCTGCTGTGCGAGTAGCTCGAGTAGGTGCTCTGGAAGCTCTGGTGCGACATGAGGGCAGGCGGCCCGGTCGAGGTCATCCGGGCGTGTGCAGTTTGCTTTGAGGGCGACTTTGGTGGTGTATGGGAGACGGCAAAGGTGGTATGGGCTCTCACCAGACCCGAGTGAAACGATAGTCCGCCCTCCATGCTGCTTTCATCGATCTCCTTGCGCTCGCGCTAAGCCCTTAGGCGGTCAGGGTCGAAGCTGCTAAACCGAGCAGGGCGGCGAGACGTGGATCGTGCGGCGACAGACAACAATTTCACGGCCAGGCCTGCAGCACGCGGGTCGCGATAGCGGTCGGAAGCTCCAGAGTTCGCTGATAGTCGTGCTATCGCGGGTGTGTGTCTAGGAGATGTCTGGAGACGCTGCAGCGGGTAATGCTGAAAGGGGCACTCGTGCGTTTCACCCGCATGTGCGGCGTTGCCCATGTCATGTGACTGCGACGACTACAAAACTCAAAACATGTCACTGTTCCCCGTCTGCGTTGGGCTCGCATTCCGTACCAACGCGAACGTTTGCAGCCGTCGTGTCCACGAGCGACGGCCTCGGTGACACCCCCACAGCCAGCCGGCGCGTCGCCGTTCCACTCGCTCAGAGCCCAGTCCTTTGATGAACCGCGAGTCTGCGATATATGACAGCTGACTCACTCTGCGAGCCGCCCTGCCCATTCCCATGACTTGACCTTTTAGCAATGTGCCTATCGCAACATAGCACCCTCTTCGCCCTTTGCATCTGCCGCGTGCGTATTTGTTATGTCGGCACAAGTGCTGCCTTGGGCCGCGATCGTCTCGACACTTGCCTGTCGCGGACCCATTTCTCCAGCCTTGTTGGCCGGGAACGTGACCCTTGGTACAGCGCGCGGCTCATGCGAGTATTGTTAGAGAGCGGTGTGAGAGAACATGTCCTGTTCTGTGGCCATGATGCCATTGTGGTAAACGGCATGGGGGCTGGCTAGCCGCCCGTTCTCACATGCCACACGACGACAAGACAGCATTGGTCCAGCTCCGAGCAACGCGAGAGCAGGTGATGTTGCCCGATGGGCGCGTCGAGTGCATGAAATACCTGCCACAAATACCTGCCAAATACCTGGGCAAGATATTAAAAGCTTCAGTATCCCAAGGTGACGAGTGGAGCAACCTTGGGTGTCTCAGACACTCCGGTGAATTGTCACCATCAAGCACGTCACCTTACCAAGCAATGGCTCAACAGTAAAATTCAAACTAAAATTCAAACTAAATTCAAACGGCTTGCGCAAACCTCGTCGACTAGTCGCTTCATGTACATTGCAAACCTTGCCAGGTGCATGTGAAGAGAGTAATGACATCGGGGAATTCTTCCAGTCTTCTAGACTGCATCCTTCCACTTCTAGTGCATCAGCCGTTAAGCGGGCAGTCTAGCGTTGGCTCTCCTGGTGTGTCTCAGATGCGAGCGACTTGGCCGCACGAGTAGTAGTCCGCATGCCCTAGCCAGCTCGGCTAGCGGCAGATCTGGAGTGAATGGGTGCGGGTGCACGGGCGCAAAGGCGCGTGTGTTGCGGGAAGCAATGATGCACTGGGCACTTGTCGAGGCTCTGCGAAAGTTGGAGATTCCCATAGCAAAGCCCATGTGCACCCCGACAGCCACACAAGACAACACCCGTGATAGCCCGTCCCTGCATAAGACACCACAACCGCCACCCGTCGCTTTCCGTGACTCCAGTACGTACCCTGATTACCAAGATCGCCAGGCAGCATCAGCCCGACCGCCCTGGGAGCGCATGTGCAGACAACATCACCTCACCCTTTCGCCGCAACAGAGAGTGCGCTGCAAACGGCACACGATTGCGTATCGACTAGCGACTTTTGTCTCCACCCACCCACCCAACTTGCGCGCACCGTCATGGCAGGCCCTCTAGGCACCCCGAATGCCCAATTTTCTGCCTCGCCCTACATGCATCCTTTCCGCCCTGCCTCTTCCATGAGTGCAAACCGCTTCGACGAAGGCTACTCCGAGGACACCAGGAGCCAGAATGAGGGCGACATGGTTATGCGCAGCGATGTGCAGCTGACTGACAGCGAGATGGGAGTCAACTCGCCCTTCGTCCTGCCCGACTGGGTCATGGCTCTGAGCGAGAACGAACGGAGTGGTAAGTAGCAGCTGCGGTGTGACGGGAACCTGCGCTGACATCATGTATAGAATTCGCCTATGCCATTCTTCGCTCGCTGCGGACCTCCTCGATAGCCGGCATCGTCGAAAAGCTCAACCCTCTCCTCCACCTCGACCCCGTAATACACCTGCCTCCTGAAATCACTTTCCAAATCCTCTCGTACCTGAACCCCGAGACGCTCTTGCGCGCATCAACACTGTCCCGGTCGTGGAGGGAGCGGGTGCTGGACAGCCCCCTGTGGAAGCTGCTTTTTAGACTAGAAGGCTGGAACTCCAACTTCCCCCAGGTCCGCGCATACGAAGAGGCGCAGAGACAGAAACGCGCAGAGTTTAAAGAGAAGGAGCGAAAGACGCGACACAGAGCCGCCGAGGATACCGACTATGGCAAGCCATCCCACAAGAAGCGCGTGCGGGAACGACAGTTGTTTGGCGACGGCGCCGCGTCAGAAAATGGCACGCAGATGTCAGCAGGCGCGGGCTCTACTAGCAACGTATGGGGCGAGCAGCACGGAGCAGTTGAGGCTGACGACAGTCCGTCTGTCAAGTCGGAGGACAAGATGGAGGGCATCTCGTTCCATGGCGCATCACCTACAGCATCGCCTGCTGCTATAGCACGCAAAGAAAGAAGACAGGATGCTTCGTCTGAAGAAATATCGCCCGCGCTCGCAGTAGCAGACACGAACGGACCTCCCATACACCCGTCACTCCTGCTCCCTGGCCCGGAAGCCAGGATCAACTGGCAATACCTTTACAAGCAGAAGAGGAGGTTAGAAGAGAACTGGAGCACCGGTCGTTATTCCAATTTCCAGCTACCACACCCGAACCACCCAGAAGAAGCTCATACCGAATGTGTGTATACTATACAGTATTCCGGGAAGTACCTGGTCAGCGGCAGCAGGGATAAGAGCATCAGAATCTGGAATCTGGATACCCTTCGCTTGGTACATCCACCACTCACTGGTCACCAAGCTTCCGTTCTGTGCTTACAATTCGACGAACGCCCTGATCAGGACATTGTTGTGTCAGGTGGCAGCGACTGCAAAGTTATCCTTTGGAAGTTTTCAACCGGACGTATCATCAAGGAAATCGAAAGGGCGCATTCGGAGTCGGTTCTGAATCTAAGATTCGACGATCGCTACCTGGTCACATGCTCGAAAGACAAGACGATCAAGGTCTGGAATCGCAAGGAGATGATGCCAACGGACGACACGTACCCTTCATCTACCATGAAGTCGAGCGCTCGGTTCCCTTCCTACATCATCAATATGCAGGAACACGTTGAAAACCAACACCTTCATTTCAAACCCCTTCTTCCATACAGCCTCATCATGACGCTAGAAGGCCACGGCGCTGCAGTCAATGCCATCCAGATTCTTGACGGGCAAATTGTCTCAGCATCTGGAGATAGGAGCGTCAAATGCTGGGACGTCCGCACCGGCGCATGCACAAGGACATTTTCAGGTCACACCAAGGGCATTGCTTGTGTTCAGTTCGACGGACGACGCATTGTTAGTGGAAGCTCAGACGAAAGCGTACGCATCTTCGACCGCGCGACAGGAGCTGAAGTGGCCTGTCTGAACGGCCACAGTAATCTTGTGCGCACCGTGCAAGCTCAATTCGGCGACCTTCCTGGCAACGAAGAAGAGCTTGAGGCCGAAGCGCGGTCCGTCGATCGGAACTACTTTGCAGCACAAGCTAGTGGTCTGCTCGCTGACCAAAACCTTACCAGGGCTGAGCGACGTGCTCGCAACGCTGGTTCCCGCGACCCATCCAAGATATTCGCCTATGGGGCTAAACTCCCACCGGGTGGCGGCGGCAGCAAATGGGCGCGCATCGTCTCAGGCTCCTACGACGAAACAGTCATCATCTGGAAGAGAGGACCTGATGGAACCTGGGAGAAATCTCAGACACTCCTACAGAACGATGCTGTCCGAGCTGCTGGCGGCCGCCCACGAAGGCCAGTTAATCATGCTGCCAACGCGAATGCGAACCACGGTGCCCAACACCACAACCAACCAGCTAACGCCCAAGCTCCTGCGCAACAGAACAACTTCCAGGCTCTCGCACAGCAGGCTCAAGCTCAGGCTCAAGCAGCTCAGACATTGGCCCTGCAAGCCAATGCCCTCCACGCAGCATCCCAAGCAATGCATGGTCCGGCTGCCAACAACGCAAATGCAAACGCAGCCACCCACAACGCGGCAGGAAACAACGCAAACGCTGCAAACGCAACAACAGCACAAGGCGCCGCAGGCCCAGCTAACGCCGCACCACACCACCACCATCACCATCACCATCACCCCCCTCACCCGCTCGCCGCACCCCTCAACGCCAACAACGGCACAAACTCGCGAGTCTTCAAACTCCAGTTCGACGCCCGCAGGATCATCTGCTGTAGTCAAGATCCGACGATCGTTGGATGGGACTTTGCCAATGGGGATAAGGATATTATGCTTGCCAGTCAATTCTTTGGCGACTCTTACTAGGGGTGGGAGGACAAGAGGTATGGCTCGTATGTATTCTGAGTGTTTTGAGTTTCTGCGAAGGGGCACGAGTGTGCTGACAATGTTGATGATGGGGTTAATGTTTGGTGTATTATGAGTTATGTACATAGCGCTGCGTTTTACATTGCATTGGGGGAATAGGCTTCCTTCGTATAGCGTTTTTTGTGGCTTGCTAATGAAACATCGAATCACCCTTCACATTGTCATATTCGGGTTGCCATATACGACCTCTTCCGTCACACACGTCGCCGCAGCCTAACCTTTACCGTCGCACTCCTTCATGGTACATATGTGAGGGATGCTCTGCACTGTTTTCCCAAAACAATCCATCTCCAAGGCCCCTATATAGAACGAGTGCTCTTGATTGGTGCTTCGTACGCCAAATCCCCATTGAGGTGTCTGTGCTTGTGGCAGGCCTCACCGGAAATTATCTTGGTGTCGGACTGCGCCACCTTCCTTCCAGCCTCTGTATTTACTGCCTCACATGTTTTGTTCAGTTCATCTCGCTGGATTGTGGTAGTACCTCTACGATATCACACGGCTCAAATATTGAGGTTAAGCACCTCTTTGGACAGCATTTCAAGTCAGTTCAATCGCATCAGGACGAAGAATCACCCGGATAGCACAGGTAAAGATGACATACTGGACCCGGTTCTGGCGGTGGACTTCCAGCCTCAGCAGCCTCCCACTTCGTATGGACAGATGGCTGATTCCACTACCGGTTGGATGGAAGATATCATTCGGCATCTGGATAAGATATACAGTGGATAGTCCAGGGGCGCCGCCCTCTATAGTTTTGGTACGTCACCTTGGGTTTTGACATGGCTACCAGCTGACTTTAAAAGAATGGTGAAAGAACACGATACAAATATGAACGCATAGATAAGAGGCGGGGAGATTTCCGTCTACTCACGCTCCATCCTGGAAGCCCTGACGACATGTTACGCACCTCTTTGGCCACAGCAGCCCTAGAAGACAATCCCACCTACGAAGCGCTGTCATATGTGTGGGGCACTCACACGAAAGAAAAAGTCGAAATTACGGTTGATGGCTATTGCTTCTTCATTGCGCCAAACCTCGGCCACGCCCTCAAAGCTTTGAGACATCCAACTTTGACGAGAGTTCTCTGGGTCGATGCAATATGTATAGACCTACCCAATAATGATGAGAGATCTCATCAGGTCATGATGATGCAACATATCTATAAGACTGCCACTAGTACCCTTGTATACCTGGGTGAGCCCACCGAACATACCGAGACAGATATGCAACACTTGCAAGCTTTCATACAACCATACGCCCAAGGGAAAGAAGCTCCGTGGTCCCATATCGCGATACCCAATTTAGAACGAAGCATCAACAATATCCTTACAAGACCTTGGTTTGAACGCATGTGGACAATTCAGGAGGCAGTGTTAGCCAGAAAGACTACGTTACAGTGCGGTAGCCACCGAGTTCAGTGGGCTGGTGACCTACGAACCTTGAGAGCTTTAGTGTTCCGGATCAAGTCTGCGGTTATCTCACCAATGTACGACCTCCATAACAATACCAAAACAGACTGGACCCCTTTGCTTTACATCCTCGAATCGCAGATGAGGCAGGCTGCGCGAAGGGAAGGAGTAGTTCTGCAACGAAATCTACTCGACATAGCCTTCGACTACCGGTATCGAAAATGTGGTGAGCCCCGCGATAGATACTTTGCAGTCCTTGGAATAATAGAGGATGATCGGGGAGGTTTGATGTGTTTCGAGCCTGACTATGATATAAGCCTGGAAGATTTGCATCGAACATTCACCGCCGAGATCCAGCGCATCAGCGAGATAGAGGATGCTCCACTTGTGTAGAGTCTTGTGCTGTTGGCCAATGCTCTGTTCCTGGGTACCTGGGGGAAGTATGGGATTAAATGTTTGACACCAATATCCAAGAGTGCCATAAACGATACCGGTTGCGAATCGCATGCTGCTTGTTATAGTGTTTAGAACTTGGCGAAGAACTTGTAAAGATAGCCACAACTGCGTCCGGTATGCTGAACAAGTTCCAAATACGATATATGAAGCTGGAAGACCGATTTGGGAAAAGCCATAGGGGTGAACAGTTTCCGGCACTGACACAGGTCCTCGAGAAGCATGAGCTACCACGGAGCTTGGTTCTTCCAAGTTTTACGTCTGCTCGAATCTGCCCTCGAGATACATACTATGACCTTCCTACTTAACTTATGATAGAGAATCTTGGGTACACCTTCGGAGCAGGTCTTGTGCTTAATGGTCGAGATTAGAAAGAACAACAAATTTTTGTATCGTTGCCTGGGTATGGCTACTTTGTACACCGAGACAGAGTAAGGAACTTTATCGTAATGCGATATGATGCAGAGTATTAAACTACTCTCAGCTAGTCTGAGTGTGATAGATCTCAGTTACATCTTGACATGAAAGGAGTGCCGTTCGGTGTGTATGAATCTCCCAGCTAAGGGAAAGAGAGAGAAATCGAATAGCGCAGCCAAGAACTCCAGTTTCAGACCAACCTTTATCGAATTCTGGCCTGCTAGGAAATCCCATCGTGGTAATGAAGATCAGATCATATGTGACGCGTCTGGATGCGCGTCATCGGAGGGATGTTAGGGTGCCAAGTCTGATCGGCACTAAGCACCCCTGCGGCTGAGTAGCGTGGGCGGACCTGGAGCATCGGAAGCCGCGCCCACGCCAGGCTGACAGCACTCAAGATGGACTCTGTCTGCAGCTCTCGTTTGCCATGTACTTGTTCGACCTGTCATTCACGGTAATCCTCTGTTGATATCCCAACTATCTTCTTGCGATATATTACTTGTCATGCGCGCCTAGCGATTTCCCGATTTACCCGCGAATTCAACGAGAGCTGAACCCACGATGGTTGTCAGAGCTGCTTCAGGAACCCTGGGCGGGGTGTCGATGAAGCACCTGTCCCTTGTGACGGTACGCACATCTTTGTGTCCATGTTCGGTATATGCGCGTAAGCTAATTCTTTCGTAGCTTACCTTCCAGAACTCCGCCCTCATCTTGGTACGGCTACCCTTCATGGCGGACGACGACCCACGCGCAAGCAAAAAGCGCACTCACGATGCGAATTGTGTATACGAAGGACCGGAGCGTGTCAGTGGCTGACGCGACATCAGATTATGCATTACTCACGGGTAATGCCTCTAGCTGGAGAGCAAAGATATCACGCAAGCACAAGCGTCTTTCTGAATGAAGTGATCAAGCTGGCTATAAGCTTGACTATGGTACGGGAATGACATGGAAAACCATGATTGCTGTTAGGCTTACAGTACCCATAGGCATTATACGAGATGTCCGGCAACCTTCCTTCGAATACGACCGTCCCGACCTTGTTCCGCACCATGACGACCGCGATGTTCACGAACGAGAGCTGGAAGCTTGCAATACCCGCAGTGTTATACACGATACAAAACTCCCTTCAATACGTTGCTGTCAGCAATCTGGATGCTGCAACCTTCCAAGTTACCTACCAACTCAAGATTCTGACGACGGCTGTCTTCAGCGTTTTGATGCTAGGCCGACGCCTCTCGACACGCCAATGGTTATCTTTACTACTTCTTATCGTCGGCGTCTCCATTATACAAGTACCGCAAGCGACCGCACCTTCAGCCACACCAGGGTCAGGATCGTCGTCATGGACTAAGACACTGGAGCAACTACATGATTTAGGCGAGAATGTCGCTGGGCGGGTCTTGAAGCGATCTGGTTCGTATGAGGGCATACACGATGATCGCGCAGCTCAGGTACCTCACATGAATAGTCGGGTTGGGCTCTTGGCTGTTCTGATCTCCTGCGCTCTCTCAGGCCTGGCTGGAGTCACCTTTGAAAAGATACTAAAGGAATCTTCGAGTGCAAAGCTGACACCGCTCTGGGTGCGCAACTGCCAGCTCTGTTTCTGGTCACTGTTCCCTTCGCTTTTCTTGGGCGTTATTTGGAAGGACGGAGAGGTGATAGCGAAGACTGGGTTCTTCGTTGGTTACAACTGGGTGGTTTGGACGGCGATTGGCTTTCAGGCAGCCGGCGGTGTCATTGTTGCGCTCGTCATTAACTATGCGGACAACATTGCGAAGAACTTCGCGACGTCTATTTCGATTTTGCTTAGTTGTATAGCCAGTGTGTACTTCTTCGATTTCAAGGTGACGCGATCGGTAAGTTTGCAGCAACATAGTAATGGTGATGATGCTGATAATTGTTAGTTCTTCATGGGCACCTGTGTCGTGCTGCTCGCTACTTATCTCTACACCAAGCCTGAGCGGGGCTCGCAATTGCCACCAGTCAGGATTGCCGACTTCGAGAAAACTACGGTCGATCGCACGTACGACGCAGATATGCCTCGAAGCCCCACAGGCTATAGTAATGTTCCTAGATCGATGCCAGAATCACCTACGATAGAACGGCATTCCCATAAGCGAGAAGCTTGAGCGCCAATAATCCAGCAATATGCATTCATAGAGCAAATACGCCACCCAGTGGTAACTAACAGTTGTTCTTACATATCAGTGATTGCGATGGCTGATGGCTGAATATCGCCTGTGTCATACCGTGAGGTTCTACTCTGACACGTCAGGCTGCGACTTCCTCCATCGTCACTTCCTTCTATGTCCCGCGTCTCACCTAACTCCCCGCTCGCTATTCTCACTTTTCGTCCCATGCAGAATCTCACACCTGCTTCACCTCTGACATGGATAGCTATATCTAGCAGTCATGGGCGACAGATACTATCCGTCTAATAACCCCCAGCGGCTCGGCGCTCCCCGTCGCGCATCACAGTACGACGTCCTCCAGCCCCAATTCAAACAGCCAGAAAGACAAATCGTTCTTCGAGATCGCTATCGTGCCACTCAGCACGAGCATCCCATATACGATGTGGTGGAGGATGATGATTTGTATGATGATGGTCCCCAACTTGACTCATTTGGTATGTGAGCGTCTCACTTATGGTTTATGCTT